AGGAGGCGCGGACGCAGCGCGCCGCCGCTCACCTGCAGCCGCTCCGCCGCGCTCCGCCGGGCCGGCCGTGACCTACTTTCCGCTCTTCAGCGAGACGTAAACAATCCCCGCCCAGCGGCCTGCCCCCCGCGCCGCATTGGCTCCGCTGCGCAGGCGGGAGCGCCAGCTCGGGCCTGCGGCAGGGGCGGCCCCGCGGTACAAGCCTCTTGCCGAGAGGCTGCTGGACCTGTCAATCCTGACTTGACGTCCTCATTAGTCAATCTCAAGCGGTCGGAGACAAGGCCCGCACGTCCATTGGACGCGGGGCAAAGGAGGGAGGCGGCCCCATATTCGGGCGTTGACACGGAAGTGGGTCCGTCTCCGGTACGTCGTCTGCACCGGAACCTGTGTGCACCCCTTGTGCGAACTGATTGGCTGAGGGAAGCGCGAGTGTGCCTATCAAGAGGGGACAGGGGGCGGGCTCCGCTGCTCATTGGTCTGAAGGCTCTTCACTCTGGCTAGGAGGCGGGCACTCGCGGGAGGAAGCGGACGGAAGCCGCGGGGCGCCGCGGGCGTGATGGAGGCGGCGGCGGGTGAGTGTGCCGGCCCCGCGGGCAGTGTCCGGTCCGCGGCCACCGAGGGTAGCGGGAACTGGCCGGCCGGCAGCCGCTGGTCTGGGCTCCGGGCTTTTAGCAAGTCTTCTTTACGGCGTGAAGGCCGCGGAGGTGCACGTGTGTGCGCGACATCTTCAGGGACGAGTCCGCCGTGATGATAGCGCCGTGCGTGGACGTGGCGCTCAGGGACCTGTCGGTGTCGGCGAGAACGCAGACCAGATTTTGATGTTAAAAATGCAAATACTGCTCCATTTTATGCCGGGGGTTTTTGATTCGGTGGCCTGGTGATCCGGAAGATTTGAGTCTTAGGTTTTAAACAGGACTTAGGAAGAAGTCTTGTTTAAATGCTGGCTTTTAAAGAGAAGAAACTAGGACATCACACGCTCTTATTCTCTGGGAGTATTCTAGCTTTCCAAGCGTTAGTACTGAGAAACACGGAAGTTGTGTGGGACGGAATACAGACAAGTGGGTATGATCACATTTGCACAGATGCGCCACAATAGGTCTCCGTTAAGTAGTGGTTTGCCGTGTTTGTTCTAAAAGACCTGGGTCTGTTACCTTGGGCGCCAAACTCTTAGACCGCTGGACTCATCTGTCAGATTATAAACGTAACACTGGAGAAAAACATGTGAAACGGGTTGTTATGATAAGGGCAGGTTTGTTACAAGGTGTGAAGATTATCTTCTAGATTGATGGAGGCTTCTTTTTTAACCACGTTTGAAAAAAATGCACATAAAAACTCAAAAGGGCTAATGGGGTATGCAGAAAAAAAACCGACCTCCCTGTGCCCAGAGGCAGCCCCTGGCTTTCCAGAGAGATTCTTTGCCTAGGAAAACTTACCTACTTGTCCAGTGTATCAGACAGTCGCTATTGGTTGGACTTGACGATGAGGCTGACCGAGGCCTGTCACTTCCCTCTGTGGGAAGACACTGCTTTTCTTTGCCCCTTCCAGCACAGCCTCTCACATGCAGTAGGCACTGGGTGAATGTACCTCATTGATTTATAAACTTTTTCCATTTACTCAAGAGAGAGAGGTTCTCGTGGTTGACCCGTGAAGATTGCTGTCTGAGAAGTTCACTGCACCTTCCAGTTACCTGAAAGCATCAGTGTCCTGTCTGATGCTCAAACAGACAAAATTCCCCACTCCCATCAGTGGGGAAAGCGAGTTGTCATTACGAGTTGTCATTACGACTGCTGTGCGCTGCACAGCACCGCACTAATGGCGGCCAGCCAGAGAGAAAGCAGGACCCACCCCCGGCTTCACCCACCCCCCACAACAGAAGCGAAATTGACTTCTAAATACCTTTTGGTAGTAAAGCAATTCAAGTAATAACCTTTTAAGTTGCCGCAGGGGTGATCTCGAGCCTTAGCCTTGGTGTCTGCTGGCAGTGATCTGGGTGGGGGGGTGTGCCCTTTCCTCATCACCTTACAAGATGTCCCAGCCCTAAGTGCTGGAAGGAGGCCTAGGAAAGGCACTGTAACACATCTGTGACAAGGACCTGCCTGAAAGCCAGGGCAGGTGCCTTCTGAGTTCTTCCTAGGGGGGCCTTGGAGGCAGGGGCCTTTGAACCTACTCCCCCTAGAGGTGGGGCAGGAGGGGGGACAGTATTTGTGTGTCATTTGTTGAGTTCCTCCCGAGGACCTGGGTGTGTGGTGAGGGTGGTAGAGAGAGCAGCTTGTTGAAGGCCAGGCAGGAGTCAGGATGGTGAGGCCCTGAGGGCGCTGGGACAGGAACATGAGGGTATAGCAGGGGGGCTGAGGGCTGTATGTATGCAGATGGCACCACTGTGGGGTGGCCGGGATTGGAGATGGTGACCATTTACTCCGTGTCATTTTGGGCTCACTGGAAGGGAGAGGAGCTGGGGCAGAATGGCTGGCAGCCGACGGGCATCCACAGAGTTGTCGGCCCCAGGGCCTGCATGGGGAGTGTGCATCCCGTGGCTGCCCTTTTGTACTTGTGGTTTCTTAAGGCCTGGCCAGCAGCCACGCACGAGAACCGGCCTCGAGTTAGCCAGGTGATGCTGGGTCCCCAGAGCTATAAGTGTTCCTCCTGAGAACTGGAGGCCAGGGATGCCTGAGTCCTCTTCTGATCCCAGGGAAGCTGGCTGGGAGCCTACAGCTCAGACCTGGGTGCTAGAAACGGGTGCTGCCACGGCGCGGACGTACCTCCTGGTTGTGACGACGTTAGTCCGCCCCATTCCCCATTGGAATCAGCTGGGAGCTGGCAGTGTCTGGGTCATCCCGCCCATGTGCGTCCAAGCTCCCAGGTGTGCAGTCACACGTGTGCACACTAGAAAGAGGAGTGGTTTGTGGGCATTTCCTGCCCCAGCAGCCGCACTTCAGATGGGGGTGGGAGCAGCAGCGGGTCAGGTCTGGGGTCTGCAGAAGACCTTCTGCTTGGGGGTGTGTGCATAGGTCCGGGTGAAGGTCTCAGGACCACCCTGGTCTCAGGCCTCAGAATGTGGGAGGTGCTTAGTGACCATCTGGGGAGTGAGCAATGAAGAGCATCTGGTCTGAAGTGGACTCCCTGCCCCCTTACCCTCTTACCCATCTGACCAGAGCCTGGACACCTGGCTGGCATCCGGCACATCATCCTCGTCCTCTCAGGAAAGGGGGGCGTCGGGAAAAGCACCATCTCCACGGAGCTGGCCCTGGCCCTGCGTCACGCGGGCAAGAAGGTGAGCACCTCCCACCCCAACCACCGTGCCCTTCCCCTCCTGAGCAGCTGCCCTGCCCCTTGGTGTGAACACACAGGACTGCCAGCTGATTTCTTCCTGCTTGACAGTGCCCCTGCCTTGGGAGGCCCCTATACGCCACATGGATGTCCTGCCTCCTTGCAGGTGGGGATCCTCGACGTGGACCTGTGTGGCCCCAGCATCCCCCGCATGTTCCGGGCACAGGGCAGGGCCGTGCACCAGTGTGACAGCGGCTGGGTGCCTGTCTTTGTGGACCAGGAACAGAGCATCTCCCTCATGTCTGTGGGCTTCCTGCTGGAAAAACCGGACGAAGCCGTGGTGTGGAGAGGCCCCAAGAAGAACGGTAAAGAGCGGGCAGGGGATGGCCTCTCCTAGCTGCCCCTCGGGAGCCCAGGGCCTGGCCCTCCTCCCACATGGGCCCCCGTGCACACCACCGCTCTCAGTAATGGGCGTGAGACACAGCTGTAAGGCCATCAGCTACCGCGTTCCCATCCCCTGGGCAGGAAGGGTGGGGCTGCCCAGACTGGAGGCCACCCAGTGTGGGGGACGCCGAGGTGGGGCTCGGGTGCCCCCGCATCAGCAGTTGGCATTCAGCCCCCTCTACCTGGCAGTGAGAGGCTGCCAAATGCAAGGAGCAGGCTCGGGCTGCTTCCAGGGTGGGCCAACGTGCGTTCCACTGCAGGCCGTCTTCTTTCAGGCCGAGGAAGCTTGAGGTGTTCCCGGGCCTCCCTGCTGCGCTGCTTCTCCTCGTGCTGTCGGTGGGCCCTCAGCCCGACTCTGTGCCTGGGGGTGGGTGGAGGCAGCGGGCTTGGTGAGCCCTCGTGAGCCCGGGCCTCCCTGGGTTTTTGCAGCGCTGATAAAGCAGTTTGTGTCTGACGTGGCCTGGGGGCAGCTGGACTACCTGGTTGTGGACACACCCCCGGGGACCTCTGATGAGCACATGGCCACTCTGGAAGCCCTGCGCCCTTACAGCCCCCTGGGGGCCCTCGTGGTCACCACACCCCAGGTACTGCACGAGTGCCGTCCCATTCCCGCTGTGTGCGACCTCACCCTGGGGGGCACTTTTCCCTGCTCGTTATACTCATCTTGGCTGAGTTTTCGGGCTGCCCATTGGCCGTTCTCGTCTGTTTCCTGGTCTCCAGGCGGTATCCGTGGGGGACGTGAGGCGGGAGCTGACCTTCTGTAGGAAGACAGGGCTGCGGGTGATCGGGGTCGTGGAGAACATGAGCGGTTTTGTCTGCCCGCACTGTGCGGTGAGTCAAGGAAAGTTGTTGGGCGGATTGCCAGCCCTCAAGGGGGAGGGGGCAGGGCAGGTTGGGGGGGCAAGGATGCTGCTGTCCCCTGGACCTGCCCCTCGCCCAGCCCCTCACGTGTGGAGAGTGAGTCCTCGAGCAGGCCCCATGTCTCTGTGTCCTAGGAGTGCACCAGCATCTTCTCCAGGGGAGGTGGCGAGGAGCTGGCCAGACATGCCGGAGTCCCCTTCCTAGGTGAGCGGATCGGGGCTGCCCCCTCCAGCCTCTACTCTGGGTGGTCTGACCTGCGTCTGCCCACTGTGCCTGAGGGAGAGAAAAATGGCAGCAGCTGGTTCCTCTCGTCTTCCTCAAGCTCATCTCGGACAGGTTGGTTACCACTAACTAACCAGAGAGAGCTGGCCTGTTGAGGGGAACGTCAGCCCCACCCCAGACTTTGAGAAGTGCCTCTGCAGCTAAAATGCCTGCTGGGACCCCAGAGGAGCAAAGGGCCGGCTGTGGCTCTGGGGGCACCTCTGTCGGGGGACACTGGTGGTGCATGACCACATGCCTCCAGTGCTCATCCTGCACTTTCGCCAAGTGGGCAGAGCATGAGGCAGAGGGCTGGGCCTGCTGGGCCGGCAGCTGGCCGTCAAGGTGGAAACTGAGCCTGAGAGTGCCTTCCAGGCACCTCCAGCAGGAGCGTGCCCGACAGGGTGTCCACTCTTGGCTAAAACAGTGCTGACAGAGGCTCCTGAGCAGTGGGAAGTGCGTGGACATGACCTCCCGGCCCCCAGGCCTTCTCTCACCGCCTCTTCCTTCCCCGGACCCCTCCCTTTCTATCTTCACAGGTTCTGTGCCCTTGGACCCTCAGCTCACAAGGAGCCTGGAGGAGGGCCAAGACTTCATCCAGGAGTTCCCCAAGAGCCCTGCATTTCCTGCACTCTTCTCCATAGCCCAGAAGATTCTGAATGAGACGCCTGCTCAACTCTCCTGACCGAGGCAGCTTCCAGCGTCTCCTCCTGGCGCCATTGTGGGCTTGCGCTCACAGACTTAAGCAGGGGTCCTGGGTGAGGGTCCTGGAACCTGCAGAGACTGGCCTTCGCGGCTGTCACTGTGCCTGCGTCTCCCTGCTCTTGGAGACATTTCTGGTGTTCCAGCAGCATGTTGGCATCAGAGCCGCTGACCGTGAGTGGTTCTGCTGGGTCGGCCTGTGGCGGAGCCCAGGGGAAAACGTGGGGTCCGGGTGTCATGGCCTGAGCTCTCTGGTGACATCACGTTCACCCCACGTCTCAGTATTCACACGCCTCAGACAGACGGACAAGCTGCCCCTCTCAGCTGAGTCTCCATGTTGTTCACAAAGCTTGTGTGTCTGCAGGGTTGCTGGGGCCTCCACTGTCCTCAGGTGCCCTGGGTTCTTGGCAGCCGGTGGGTCTGTGAGAGATCGTGGTGACAGAGGGGAACACCCTGTAAGGTGTTAAAACTCGTAATTTCAGAGGAACTCACGATTAAACATATCCTACCGCCATGGTTACAAGTCTGACGTTTCTAGATCATTCTGCCCTGGTCCTGCCTCTCTGCCTCACAGTGTGGCTATATCCTACAACAGACAGCGTTCACTCCCTAAGTCCTGGGGCTGGGCCAGCAGTCCCATTGTCGACAGGCCCCTGAAGACTCAGGCGAGGATATGTTTCAGTTGAGTTGGGTGAAGTTTGTGGGGGAATTTGTGATGTCAGAGAAATGTGTGAGGGGGGACGCTTGGCCCGTAGAGCTAACTGCCCGCCTGGCCCCTCCACACCGTGGGGACCTGGCAGAGCCGAGAGCAGGCAAGATGAGTTAGGAACACGGTGTGAGTCCCAGGGCTCCGCTCTTCCCTGCACCTCCCCAGGAGGTCGGGGGGAAAGCAGTTCTAGAAAGCAGAGCCAGGCGGCCCCTTGGGCGGAGGTGGCAGGGGGTCTGGGATGCAGCCTCAGGTACCGCTCCCTGGGGGCAGGGTGGGAAGGCGATGGGTGCGCCGTGGACGGAGGTTTCCTGGAGTGGGGAGGGTGCTGTGCCAAGAGGAAGGCTCGGGGGAGAGGACTGTTGAGGGGTTTGGCCAGGAACACGAAGCCCTGGAGAGTGAGGATCGGCCCCCATGCTGGGCCCAGCCAGGCCTCCTCCACTGACTGCTGGGCGTCTTGGACCAGCGCCCACCTCAGCTGTGCTCTGGCTTCCCAGAACCAGGCTGCCTCCAAGGATAGTGCCCAAAGAGGAGGGCCAGGACGCTGAGGTTCTGAAGGACCTGAGTAAGTGCCCACCGCTCCTCAGGTCAGGGCTGGCGTCCCTAGAGGGCCCGGGGCTGGAGGCACGTGAAGACAGTCCGGGCACAAGAAGGGAAGGACTGGGAAGGGCATGCGGGATTGAGGGCGGGGGGGGGGGGGACAGGACGGGGGACTGCAGCGTACCCAGGCAAGCGCTTTCCTCCCCTCCCCCAAGTGTCATCCCTGTGGCCACACGGTGTGTTTATTAGACTGCTTTTAATTGATTACAGCTGGGGAGGGCTGTGCCCGCCCACCCACCCCCACTGTCCTGGTCAGGCCCTCAGGGACCAGGCTGGTGCCCACAGGCCCTGAGCCCACACCGACAAAGCCCCAGGACTGTGTGTCTCCCATAGGAGGGACCCCAGCAAGTGAGCAGTGTGGGGTCTGACCCCCCAGAGAGCTGAGGAGCAGCGTGCCTGCCGGGCTCCGGGGATGGTGAGGGCCCGTTCTGACCCCAGGGCAGTGTCCTGCCGGGCAAGCCTCAGATCAGCAGTGAGCAAAGTGGGCCTCGCCGACGTCTCGCAGATCGAGGCCCAAAACACCAGGAGGGCTGGCACAGGTGATGTTGTTGTACGTGTACACGGGCAGCTGGCAGTCGTCCCCCTCTACGACGGCCTGGACGAAGCGGGGCACGACGCTGGGGTGCTGCAGGGCAAAGGCCCTGAGGGCCCGGAGTGGGCAGCCGCAGTCCCAGGGGTTGCCCTCGAGCCACAGGCGCTCCAGGCTGGGGGGCTGCGGCACGAAGGTCCGCAGGGAGTTATTCCTGAGGCTGAGGTAGTGCAGCCGCCCCAGTTGCGAGAGGACACCCTCAGGCAGGGCCTCCAGGCGGTTGTGCGAGACGTCCAGCCAGAAGGCACGCTGCAGGGGCCCCAGGGCATCTGCCGAGAGCGCCGACAGCCGGTTGCGGGCGAGGAGCAGGTACTCCAGTTTGCCAAGGCCCTGGAAGAGCCGGCTGGGCAGGTGCGTGAGCTGGTTGGAGGTGAGGTCCAGCTCAAGGAGCTCCCCGAGGCCCCAGAGGCTCTGCTCCTCAATGGCCACAATGCCGCTGTCCTTGAGGAAGAGCCGGCGCAGCCCCGAGAGGCCAGCGAAGGTGTGCAGGCGGATGCGGCCCAGGCAGCTGCCCTCTAGGTGCAGACTGTGCAGCTTGCCCAGGCCCTGGAACACCTGCTCTGGAAGGTTCCGCAGACAGTTGCTAGAGAGGTTCATGACGGCCACATTGAAGAGACCGAGGAAGGCGCCTACCTTGACCTCCTGGATCTGGTTGTTGTTGAGTGTGAGCACCTCCAGCTGGCCCAGGCCCTCGAAGGCCTTCTCCGGCAGGTGCCGGATGCGGTTGTGGCCGAGCTGTAGCTCCTCCAGGAAGTGCAGATCCTTGAAGGTCCGGGGCCGCAGGCCGGCGATGGCGTTGTGCGAGAGGCGCAGGACGTGCAGGCCCAGCAGGCCCGGGAAGGTGTCCTCCAGGAGGCTGCCCACACGGTTGTGCGACAGGTCCAGCCAGCGCAGCGCCTTCATGCCCAGGAAGGCGCCAGGGGCCACGGCAGCGATGAGGTTGTGGTCCAGGTAGAGCTTCTGAAGCTTGGGCAGCTTGACAAAGACATTGGCCTTAACACTCCTCAGGGCGTTCCTGCTCAGGTCCAGCTCCCGCAGTTCGCCCAGGCTGCAGAAGAGCGGGGGCTGCAGGTAGGCTAGCTTGTTGCCTGCGAGCACCAGCTCACGAAGGTTGGCCAGGCCCTGGAACGCAGTGTCGGGGAGCACGGCCAGGCTGTTCCAGCCGAGGTTGAGGTCCCAGAGGTTGGTCAGACCCTGGAAGAGGCCCTCGTCCACCCTGCTGAGGAGATTGTTGTTGAGGCCGAGCGAGGCCAGGCCCGGCGTGTGCACAAAGGTGCCGGCCGCCAGGCTGCGCAGCTGGTTCCGCTCCAGGTGCAGGTGGTACAGGTTCTGCAGGCCCAGCAGCGCCTGTGGCTCCAGGCTGGCCAACCAGCTGCCCTGCAGGTTGAGGAAGCCCAGGCTGGAGAGGTTCCGGAAGGCTGCCGTGGGGACAGAGGACAAGTTGTTGCCATCCAGCCACAGGGCCTTGGTGCCGTCCGGGATGCTGTCCGGCAGCCGCGTGAGGTTCCGGGAGCTGCAGAAGACCCCAAGCTCCTCCGTGTAGTCGTCGTGGCCACAAGTGCAGACGGCCGGGCACTGCAGGCCCTCAGCGTCCCCCTGTCCTCCAGGCTCTGCTCCTTCCAGGCTCCAGGGGCCCAGTGCTGCCCAGGAGACCAGCAGCACCACCAGGGCCAGGCCTCCTGCGGAGAGAGGGGCTTGGGGAGGCGGCACTGAGGGGCTCGGGATGTGAGCCCTGGGGTGAGAGACCTGGAACCTCCCAGTTTCAGCCCACACCTGTGGGCCGCCATGGAACTTAGCGCCCAGACCGCAGCCTGTGACCGCAAGAGGAGGCACTGCTAATTGGACTGGAGAAAGGTCTGAGCTGACATTCACAGTCGCCGCACTTAAACTGGACGTCTTCCAGCTCAAAACCCACTGTACTTTCCCCCCGCAGGACTGACGAGGTGGCAGTGCCTGTTCCAGAGAAAACTGAGGGCGGGGCACCTGGCAATTAGGCCGTGTGGCTGTCCGTGTCCCCAAGGTGGACACTCGAGCTGGGCCAGGCTGCCAGGCGGGCCTGGAGGAAGGCGTGAGTGAGGGAATGTTCTGGAGCAGGCCTGGGTGGGCATGTACTCGTTGCCCATGGAGGTGGTCAGTGAGCCAGGCACCTGCTGCCCCAATTAGGCCCCCAGATTAGGGGGCACTCACCCACCGGCTCCCCGGCATGTGCAGTCTGCTCCCAGGGAATTGGCTGAGAAATTGCAGCACCGGTGTGGGGAAAGGAACAGGGTGCAGGCCTTGGGGACACATGGAGACCCTAGACCATTGACTTGCCAGGGGTCAGGCTGTGCCTTGGGACAGAGCGCCAGGCTCCCCGGCAAAAATGCCCCCAAATCTCTACTGGGCACTGAGCTGCCCGCCGCATCAGGCCCATCCCTGCTCTTGAGAGCTCAGGGTGCTGGGGTGGGGGTTCAGGCAGTGCCATAGGGTGCTTCTCGCCCAGCTGGATGGGGTGAGGCCTCTCGAGAGGACAGAGTGGCAGTGGCCTGTCCTCCGAGTGTCTGGGAGAGCAGCAGGCCCTGGCCCAGTGGAGGGTCCAGGGCAAGGCCCCTGGGGTGGGGGTGCAAGGAGACACCCTCCCTGCCTTCAGCTCGCCCTTCCTCCCCTGCGCCACCGTCCTGGGCCCTTAGGAAGGAGAGGAGGTAATGGAGGGGCCAGGTGCAGCTGTGGCCCCCAAAACCCCCAGCAGTGACATGCCCCCCCTTGGGCTCCTAGAGTCCCCCAGCCCACCCCGAGCTGAGCCTTCACTGGGGGCTGCCCCTGCCCCAGTAGGCTTGGGGCTGGCCACCCCTAGAGCAACTCGCTGGAGCACTTGGGGCCTCACCTTTCCTCAGGGCCATCCCGCGTGCAGAGCAGGCCGCAGGCGGGCAGCAAGCAGGGTGCGTCCACTGGGGCCGGCTGCTGCTGCCCTCTGGATTTCTCCACCGACAGGGCAGCCAGCGCCCTGTCACCGGCCAGCCCAGCTCTGCCGGCCCAGGCTCCGTTAACCCCCTCGTGCCGGGGGACCAGCATCGGCACCAAGTGCCTGTGGTGCAGACAGCATGGGAGAGGCTGGGGTGCTGCTTGTGCCCTGAAGCTGCTGTCCGGTTCCAAGGGGGGCTATGGTGCAGCTCTGAGGGCCAACGGGCCTGTCCCCCATCCCCCATCCTCCTGATCCCCACACACACACTCCCTTCCATCCCCCGGTCCCCAGTAGGATTGGGCCAAGCACAGCTGGGGCAGCGGGCAGGTGGGAGCTGGGGTGTCTCTTGGCGCAGCCCAAGAGGGGCTGGTGCTCCGACAGGTTTGAGGAATCCAGGAGAGGTGGCCTCTGTGCTCGGCTGGCCTTCTGCCCATGGGTGGGGGCCCCTGGGACAGCTCCTGGGGTCCTCCGGCGCAGCAGAAGACCAGGTGGGGGTTAAGGGGGAGCCACCCTGGTTCCCAATGGGCCTGCTCCACTGCTGTGGTGCTGACCACCCCATCCTCCTCCCCCTTCCCCACTTCCTAACAGTCTGGGCGGGGTCCTGTTCAGGCTCCCCGGGGCTTCTCCTGTGCCCTCAGGGTCAGCTGGTGTCTGGCCACTGCCCCTCCCCCAGCCTCTCTTCTAGGAACACCTGGCAGGGCCCCTGGCTGCTTTGTGTTTGCTTCCCCAGCGCCACCCTCCCAGGAAGAAAGTGGGGGATGGCCTGGCCTCAGGGGCCCCCATGCTGTCCTCCAGAGCTCCTGTGGGGGCACAGCCACCCTGCTCTGTGCACAGGCCGCTGGGATGGGCACCCAGGGCCTTACCTGGCCCGAGGTCGGCCCCGGGTCAGACAGGGAAGAAGGCTGCCGGCTGGAGTGGCCTCGAGAGAGGGGAGCCCCACCACACCCTCGCCTGCCAGCCCCTGGCTCTGCTCTTCCTGCTCCAACCACATCTCCTCCAGGGGCTGGCCAAGTGCAGTCTGGCCCCCCAGCCGTCCCTTCCCCTCTCCCCAGGACCCTTCCTCTGGCTATCAGCTGTGCCTGCCCACTAGTCCTTCTGCTCTGCCTGGGGTGGTGGGCTTGTGCTCAGGAGGGACTGGGAGGGGTTGGAAGGGGCAAAACCAGGTCTGGGGAGGGCAAAGCTCATTGAGCTTTGAGGGCCTCTCAAAGGAAGAAGGCAGGACTGTGTCCTGGGGGGATGGGCGGTGGGGAGGGGAAGAGGGAAGGCAGGTGGAAGCTGCCCACATCCCTTCACCTCCCCCATGGGGCCCGGAAGCTCTGCCCTGCCCATCTATGGCCTGGCCACTGGGCTTGGCTACTCGATGGGCCCAGGAGAGGCTGGGAGCCCGGCCACGGCGACCCCTCCCTGGCTCCCGGGCCTCGCCCCTGCACATCACACTAGGGAGGTGTTGGGGGAGGGAGGCGGCTTTATCTCTGTCCCTTTACTGAGCTTTGATTTTTTTTCCAGGTCATTTCTCAGCTTCTCTTCTGAGAAATTATAGATCTGCAGGGAGAAAGTCCACACCCAGAAATTTACACAGCAAACATACATTTACACAGTAGAAAGTGTGGACTCAGCAGGAGCTCCGGGGCCAGCTGGGCCTCTTCTCCAGAAAGTTCCCGGCATGGAGGGCCCTCTCTGCCTGACTGGAGGCCTGCAGGCTGAGGCCAGAGCAGCGGGCACGTGCACTAGGATGGGAGTCAGCGTTCTGGCGGTTCTCGTTTGGAGGGGAGGACAGGAAACTTCCGGTAAATCCAGAGTGAAGCCTGTGTGGCGGGAAACCAGCGTCAGGATCTGGGCCGCGGGCCTCGGTATTCTCAAACCGTTCTTGAGTCCCGCAGTAACATCCGTGTGCAGCCTGCTCAGTGCGAAAAAGAACGCCTCTGTCCCTGCCCCACAAAGCAGCCCGTCCTGACTTGCAGGCTGGTCACTGCCCTGGCCTCTCCTCCTAGTTGACCACGGGGGGTCTCCCTGAGGACTCTGGCGTCGTTCGCCTGTTTTGATCTTCACGCAAGTGGTGTCTCACCGAAGCACTGGCCTGGCTGCTTGTGTGACGTGTGATTCAGCCAAGTCGTAGATGCAGCTGTCCCTTCATTCTCCTTTATGTCATGGGATGCGTTTATCCATCTGCTGCTGAGTGACACTGAGGTCACTCCTGGCGGTGCTACGGCAAGCCTTTGTGTCTGCGTTTTCTGGGGTACCAGCGTGGGTGTTCTGTTGGTCCTAAATGGAATTGCTGGGACCGGGGTGTGCGTCTTCTTGGCAGGTGAGGCCAACCCTCCCCGAGTGTTAGGGGGTCACTCCCTCCTGGGGCCAACGGGGGTGCCCTCAATGCCACACCCCACCTTGTCTACCCTTAGCCCCAAGGGTGAGTGGATGGCGGCTTTCACTGATCCATGTTTTCTCAACCACCAATGAAACAGCAGCTTTTCAGAGACTCACTGGCCAGTGGATCGTCATGTGTAAGTCTCTTGTCAATTTTTCTATTTGGTTGTCTATCAGTCTGATGTATATTTTTTAAAAAATCATATTCTGGATGCAAGCCCTCCCTCAGGTACATGTGGCCAGTGAGGTCTTCTGCACTGTAGTTTGCCTTTCTAGTGTCTTCATTGTGATTCTGGTGCGAGTTCTTAATTTCAATGTGGTCTCGTAGATGTTCTTTAAATGGCACATCTTGAACTTGATTCCTTAAATACCAACAATAATAAAGATGGAAAAACTCCAGAAGGTCCCCCCCCCAAAGCCCCAGTAGATAGTTGTATGTCACAGCTGCACATCCTTCTAGTTGCTGTATGTGGGACGCAGCCTCAGCATGGCCGGAGAAGCGGTGCGTCGGTGCGCGCCCGGGATCTGAACCCGGGCCACCAGCAGCGGAGCGCGCGCACTTAACCGCTAAGCCATGGGGCCGGCCTGAGAAGTTTTTTTATGTAATTCAATTTATCAAACTCTTCATGGTTTCAAGTCCTATTTGGCAGATGACCTTGAGCATATTCTCTTAAACCAGCCTGCAGCCACGTTATCGCTTCACCTTTCACTTTGACATCCGCAGGCTACTTCTCCCTCATCTGCTTTCTAAAAGTGTGAGGTAGAACTCAAGTTGAATTCTTTTCGGTGGGTTAGTCGCCTCCCCGCCATCCAGTGCAATGGCTACCCTTCTCGCCTTGCTCCTCGGCACCACCTTTGCCGTAAATCAGGGTCCCTTGTCAGCCCCGGCCCTTCCTGGGCTCTTGTTGCCTCTCTCGGCCTCCAGCTGAACTGTGGAGGCTTTCCAGTAAGTTTTGGTAACTGGTAGAGCCCCTCCTCCTCCCCCTCCCCCCCCACCTTCTTCCTCTCCTCCTCCTCCTCCTCCTCCTCCAAGAGCATCATGGCTACTCGTGGTCCTCTGTGTTTCCTTAGACACTGGGATCAGCTTGTCACATGTCTAAAAACCAAAAAAGCCTGTTGAATGTTGAGTTGTTGCAGTTTGTGGAGAATTGACATCTTCACAATATTGAGTCTTCCAATCTGTGGACGTATAATTCCTCCTTTTATTTAGGTCTTCTTTGGTTTCTCTGGTGTTTTTGTAGATTTCTATGTTATGGTCTTGCATATATTTTTTAGATTTTTTTCCTAAATGGTTGTTACTTTTTGATACTATTATAAATGTTATCTTTTTTCCTCCTTAATTTCATTTTCTGTTTGTTTAGGCTGAAATTTTTTAGCAGTATTAACTAGTTATTAATATAGTCTTATAAAGTATTAACCAATGTGCCCTTATCCAATAATTCTTTTTCTAAAACAGCTTTATTGATATGTAATTCACACACCATAAAATTCATCCGCCATAAGTATACAATTCAATGATTCTCAGTAAATGTGTAGAGCTGTGCAGCCAGTTTTAGAACATTCCCATACAATATGTGGTCTTTTTTGTCTCACCTCTTTCACTTAGCATCATGTTTTCCGGGTTCATCCACTGGTAGCACGTGTCACTACTTCATTCCTTGTTATGCTGAATAGGATCCCACTGTCTGGATTTGACACATGGTGTGTATCCATCATCAGCCGATGGACATATGCTTGCTTCCATTAGGGGTTATTATGAATGCTGTTGCTATGAAGATTTGGATGAGTCTTCTTGTATGGACATGTGTTTCATTCCTCTGGGGTAGATTCTTAGGAGTGGAACTGCTGGTTCACATAGTATTCATATCTAACTTTTTAAAAAACTGTTTTCCAAAGTGATTGCATCATTTTACAAAGTATGAGAATTCCAGTTGTTCCACATCCTCACCAACATTTGGTATGGTTGTTTTTTTTTTCATTTTTAGCTATGCTAATTTTGTGTTTCTCTGACAATTACTCATGCTGAGCACCTTTGCATACGTTTATTGGCCATTCTCATCTTCTTTGGTGAAATGTCTTTTCAAGTCTTTTGCCCATTTTTTAATTGAGTTATTTGTCCTCTTATTGAGTTCTAAGACTTTATATATTATGGATATGACTTTATATATTATGGATTATAAGATATAACATTTGCAGATACTTTTTATGGTCTGTGGCTTGTCTCATTTTTCTTAAATGCTGTCTTTTGAAGTGCAAAAGTTTATTTTAATGAAATCCAACTTACCAATTTTCTTTTATGGCTCATGCTTTTGGTGTGGTGTCTAAGACTCTTTGCCTAGCGCAAGATCACAAGATCTTCTAATCAAGGAATATAGACTTTCTTTTCATTTACTTAGATCTTCTTTAATTTCTCTTAGCAATTTTTTATAGTTTTCAGTGTATAAATCTTACACTATTTTGATGCTATTGTGAATGGAATTGTTTTCTTAATTTCATTTTCAGACTGTTATTAGTATGTAGAAATACAATGGATTTTTCTTATTAATCTTGTATCCCAGGACCTTGCTAAACTTATTAGTTCCAGGTATGTGTGTGTATCTGGATTCCTTAGGATTAGCTACATATAGGATCATGTCATCTGTGAATAAGGACATTTTTACTTCTTCTTTTCCAGTATGTATACTACCTTTGTCTTTTTCTTTCTCTTTTTTTTGTGCTTTATTGCACGTCTAGTACAATGCTGAGTAGAAGTGGCAAGGCAGACATCCGTGGCTTGTTCCTGACTTTAGAGGGAAGCATTCAGTTGTTCACCATGAATTATGATGCTAGCTGATGTTTTTCATAGATGCTGTGACAGGCAGAATAATGCTCC